TCAACGTATTGAAACGTGTTATTTGCGAACACACTTTTTTCGAGATTCAGATTTGTTCAAAAGTTATTGCAATTTAAATTGTCTTTCACCTTTTTCTGTACATAACTGCGAGTTTAGTATTGTAATCCTTCTATTTCATTTTAACCCTACTTAATAAAAGTACGGATTATTAAAAGTGTCCGCAGTATAATAAAAGAAAGAAAAAAATGAGACGTTTAACATTTCTTATCATTTGCAAAATGCAGTTTGAAAAGATTCAATGTGCAACGTTTACAAATAATAAAAAGCGTATGAGCAGAAGTAGTAAAAGCCAGCCCTCAGCCACAAATTGATACATTTTATTCATTTTTTAACGCGATTTTAATGGAATTCGATTAATATATTGTCATAAAATTTAATTTCTGATAACTACTATAGGTCAGTTGTATGTGGCTTTTATCAGCACGATATTATTTGTATATAAGATAAGATTTCTCCTAATCTCTTAATTCCTTTTTTAAAAAAAGCCCGAAGTTAACTATATTATGAATCTTCTTTTTAAATTATTAAAAAAGGGGAATAACATAAATTTTACAATTAACTTTAATGTATTCAAAACTATAAAAAATAAGCTAAAAGTAAGAGAAAAAGTAAACAAAAATTGATATACTTTAAAGTTTTCTGACTTTAAAAAACATATTTATTATTTCAGTTTAAGAATAGGTCAGTCTTTTTGGCAAAATTTTGAAAAACTGCAAGGGCAGTAAATTTTCAAATTTACGCGAAGGTTATGACTTCGTTCTATGTGCTAAGTTAGTATTGAGTTGAGTTAGATATGCACATTATTCTTCTGTACCAAACCAAATCAAAACAAAAAATTTTAATGCGCATTCAAAACTAATATCATCTACTGTTTGTTTACGATGCTCCAAAAATCCTTTACACACATAATCTTTTCCACGCTCCCTAAAAGTCTTCACTGCCCACTGGGGGTGATAGAGCCCATACCTATTGCACCCAGCGCTTGAGTCCGTTCCGATTGGCGATGAATGAAAAAAGCCCTTAAGACTCCAAACATTTATTATCAGAATCTTTCAGACAATACAGCCTACTTATAGCACTGAATTACAACTGAAATAGCAGAGTACAGAGATTTTCCAACCTCAGACGGTCTTACAAGTGACTCTCAAATCCAAACACTTTTGCAATTGTGGTGCGCAAGGTCAGTAAAACAACACGCATCAAAATTTCGTTTCATATAAATGTAAGCAGCACGTTTGCTAAGAAACGCAACTATAATTACAATCCTGACTTTCTATAAAAAAAAGTAATAATGGATGTAAATATTTTCCCTCATTAATAATCTATTTATTCATAACTATATATTCACAACTATCTATTTACTTGTAAATAGCTATAGATATTAAATGTTACAGTGTCGTCAATTTACATCGTGTTTATTCATCCAAAATCGCATACTGTAGGCCTTCCCTTTACAGTCACAAACTCTCAGTTGAGGCATACTTCTATTTATGTAGGCTTGGCGGAGAAACCCTGGAACTTTCGACCTGATCTTAGGCAATTCTCGTATTACTCAGTGAATATTAGTCCTACCGCTTTAAGACTCGAATTTTCCAAAACCCTCATTTTGACGCCACACTGGTAGCCAAATATTGTTAAGTGCCAAGATTATCGCCAAGTCATTATCACCAAATAAAAATACTTTTTTTGCATTATAGAAAAGAATGTTCAACGTGATTTTATGTTCGAAATGGTTACATAAAATTGAGCTTGGCAATTTTGTGTTAAAATATTATATTTTAATCTTTAAGGTTTAATTTCTTATAAAAATTAATTGAGATAATATCATATTATTTTTTTTATACATCTTTACATAAAATGTTTATTAACTAGTTTAAACTTAAGAACAAGATATAAAACAGTGACTAAAATTAATATTTATCTGCGGAAAAAGCATTAATGCTACTAGAAACATTTGAATCGGTAGTTAAGGAGGGATGGTAAACGACGATGCCAGTTTGCTGGAGGGGCATTTGGGTTTGTTTCTAATTATCGTCTTTCATCTCCTTTTTGTTTTCTCCAGTGATTCAATAGGTTCTGATGTTTTCTACCAAGCATTTTTTAGTAAAGGTTCATTAGATTTCCAAACACGGAGAAAAAGATTGTAGTAAATTCTGGCAAAAAAAACAGCAACAGCAACATAATTCTGGTCAAAGAAACCAAAATATACGATATTTAAACCATTCATTTGGTGATTTTGTTCGTTCATATGGCAACGGTTTTTCTTAAATCCCAGTCTTCAAGATTATAGTTCTTATTACCACTCATATAGTAAAAAATACAAAATCGAAAAGTTAATTTAACCGAATAATTAATTTTTATGCCATGTTCAAAGGTATCCTTATGAAATTAAACATTAAGCAAAAATTTTCTTTTATTATAACACCATATTTTATTGTTAAGTTTATCAAAATTATCACGAAAGCGGTTCGGTAAAAATTACTTAGAATTTTTGTGTTCCTCTGCAGCCAGAAACAAAGTAAATTTTACCATATTCTGGTATTTTTGACATTTAATTTTTCTCAGTGTACGTTTTTGTCCTTTCCTGGATTAAGTACTAATTTGTGACCCCGAATCTGATACTTCTTTTTCACGTTTTTGACTTGGATATTAAAAGTATTTATTTAAAATATATATTTAAAATATATGTTAAAACATATATAAAAAATATGTATTTAAGGTAGTCGTAAAAAAAAACATCTGTATATTGTCATGACCATATTCTGTCGAATAAATATTTTTCACGTATAATACTTGCGAATTCATAAATATCTTCAGTGTAAATTTACATTAAATAAAACAACTGACATGCATATTGTCACAAAACCAATGTAATTTCGTTTTCAGTGTAGGCAACAAAAATTTGAAATATACTTAGTTGTGAGTTGGGCATAAATAAAAAGTAAAAAGTGAATTGTACACAAAAGTAAAATGTTCTATATTTTGCTATAACTCTGCTTAATAGTTTAAGATGGTAATATATTAATTTAGAGCTTTAGTTTTAATGATATTTAATAATTTACGCAGGAAAGATACATTTTATCAGCTAAGATCGACCAAATATACGTTATTGGTTATTGATTCAATTTTAATTATTTTTAAATCTAAAATATATCAACTCCATTTTCACCTGCTAGGAAAAATGCTTTTTTTAAAAAAATGCTTCTTTGATCCTTATACACTTCATGAGTTTATGATTAAGATTTAAAACTTTGATAAAGATTTAAAACTTTGGTGTATCCGGACTCCGAACTTTATAATAGTGTATAAATTCTACTTGGAAAAAGGGAATTTCCTTTGGTTCTTATACCTTTCACGTGTTAATATCAAAATGAAGATTTAAAACTAAGTTGTATCCGGACTCCAAAATTTTTAATTGAGCTTAAATCGTTTGAGTTATTTGTTCCAAATGTAATTTCCAAGTACCATTTAAATGTATGTAAATTAAATCGTAATGTACATTAGTTGAATGAATACTGAGTTATAGTAGTAATACTGAATATTACTTGATATATTATTTGAATGAATAGCTGGTCAACCTGTGTACATGTTCACAGGTTGTCCAGGATGTACATGTTGCATATTTTTAACTGGATTTTAAGCAACAGCATACACACAAATCTATACAAAAATATATTAGTATTTAATGAGATAACGAACCAAGCTCAACTTGCGATGCAATCCATGAGCAGTGAAAGCAGTTCCTGGGTCTGGTAGCAGCAGCGATCAGGGGGTTGGGGCTCTTGCCGATTTTGGAAGCATGTAATGGTGAGTACAATTGATATTAAACCTTGGAGCTAAAAGATTCAAGGTCAAACTCCGACTGTCTAACCCTTAAGAAATAAAACGTTTATATAAATAAAATAAAAGAAATTTTATTCTTACCCATCGTAGTCAAACGAATTTATTGAAGTTATACTTCTTATGCGACTTCCAACAAGGTTGCGTTAAACGTTTAACGCTGCATTTTTATTGGCCGGGAATTCACGTGGTAGGATCCAGTTTTCCCTCATTCATTTCCATATTGTTTTGGTTCTCACTAGCATAAAAATAATAAAAGTATTGTTTTTCTATAAATATTTTTTTAGTTTGTTTTGATACACATATAATTTACTAGGATAGTATTTTTTATTTTCAAATTTAGTGGATAACAATTGTAAAAAATGAGTGAAAACAATCCCACGGACAATGCGACGGATTTAAGGTTATGTCAAGGTACGTCTCTTGTGAATATCAATTGGTTGTTAGGTTTTCTCTTTTGAAATTACATTATGACGCATTCACATACATTATTAATACAAATACATTTTCCATGGCGAGACGATGAGGCAACCTCGAGCACTTCCACTGGTTCAAGAGGTCCACGAGTAAAAAATGCACAATATTACCGTTATTACAGAGCACGGAAGCGAGCGGAGCAGAAAAAAGACTCGTTGAATAGAACTAGTGATCCCTCTACGACTGCTGATTCTTCTACAATTAACGTCGCAGGTTGCAAAGTTTAACTTCTTCCGCGCGGAGGGACTCCACGCACTATTTTTTTTCCCAAAATGATATTCTTAGTTTAGTTTAATTTTTGTCCAAAGTAAAAGTCTTATGAAGAACGTATAAATTTATCTAAATACATTTACACTTGTCTTCTCTTAAAATATCACTTAAGAGGAAAAACATATGACATTAATGCATTTCATCATAAACTGAATTGTTCTTCTTCCTACCAGTCTTTACACCGTAAAGAAACGGGGACGCTGAAGTGAATTAAAAAAAAATTCTGGTTAGGAATATATATTTTTAAATAGAAACGCGAAAATATAAAAAGTCCATTCAAAAGTGTCATGCAACAGAAAGCGAAAAAAAAAAAATTTCTTCACCACTGCAGTCATTTAGTTATTTTAAGTTGATCAAGATAAAATTGTAAACACATGCATTTTTTTTTTCAGGAAAAAAATACAACCATGCACTTATAAATCATGATTTAGAATTTCTGACAGATCAAAACACAGAAATGATGTCCGTCCTCCATAGAATTGATAGTCTGAAAAGATCTGTAAGTTGCCTCATTTGAGTATATCAAATTTTTTTATTTTCAACTGAATGTAATTAATATAAAATTTATTCAGAGAACATTTTTACTCAATGTGCTTTAGTGTTAAGAAAGTTAGATTTCAAATCAATAAAATAATTTTGAGGATTTATTTTCACTTTTAGACCTTCATTCCGATGTGAAGTATCAATCTAGTAATATTCGTTTCTCAATTAAGCATATTCAGTGAAAAAAATAAAGAAAATTACAAAAATCTCTGCCACGACTATAACTTCAGTGATAGTTTTAACAGTGATAGTTTTAATTATCGTAATTAAAATAAGTGAAAATTTTAAATCATGACTTAAATCGCTTTCTCTTGGTTTTAATTGAATACTATAATGTACATTGACATGCAATCAACAAAATAAATTTTCGAATTCTTTCGGCTAAGCAAATAAAGTATATATTGAAATCTTCAATGAACTGAAACTGAAAGAGTTGGCGGTTGAATGTTTTTTTTCCCGATAATTTAACGAATATTGAACTATTTATTTCTATGTCGACAATGCTTAAAGAAGAGGTGATGGGTTTGAATGGTTCTTTTTGATAATTTTATCAAGCATTTAATTATTTTCTGGTGTTGAGAATGCCTAAAAAATTAATTATGATGAGGAATGATTCTTTACGATAATTTAACAGACATTTAGCTATATTTTTTTTTAGGAAAGACACTTAATAAAACTTATTAATTTTCATTTAGATGTTTTTTTTTAAATTTTTGTTAAGATAAGCGTTTTTCAGGCATATTTCAGTTGTTTCAACATCTCAGATGAAGTAAAATTTATGTCAAAATAAATTTTATTTCTCATTATACTTCTATTCGAATTGAAAAAAGAATTTGAAACTTCTTTCATTCATAGTATAAGAGTCACGATCCATTTCCTTACATGTTATCAATATTTCGATGTCATTAGAAAAAATTAACATTGACAAATACTTAATAGGGTTAGCTTGCATTCAGAATTTTAATTTATTTTTCCTTCTTTATGGTTTCTAATTTTTTTTATTATTAATATTCGAGTTATTCTTATTTTCAGTTACATGTGTCATTTTCAATGATCAATTTGACCCAAATTATTTGCTTCTAAAAATTACTCTTTTATTAAATTTACTAAGAGGAAAATTACCACCCGGAGTATTGATTAAAAAAAAAATCAAAAATTTATTGTTTTTTCCGAATATTCAGAATAACTTTAAATGTTTTATTTTTACAATTTATCTCTCTATTATTTACTTTTAAAATTACTAAATAATATCTAAAATATTTTTACGAATTTCCCAAAAAATGCTTGCGAATATGCTAAACTAAAATTACCAAAGAGTATGTATGTATGTATATTTCAAATTTTATGCAGTTATTTTTACCAGGTTTCGAAATACATTGTGTTAAATTGGAAAATAATAATAATAAGAAAAAAAAAACATGGAAAAATGATTATGGGGATAAAAGCCTCCTAAAATTTGGCATAATTTGAAATTCAATATTGAGAAAAAAACTAAAACAAGTATCTTTTTTTGTTTTGTAATTCAAATAAAGCAATTTTTCACCATTTAATAGATAAAATTGCCTTATTTTTTTAATGTGATAAAAAACCTCCTGATTTCAAATATTTTTGTTTTGGGAAGCACAGTTTAATTCTGCAGTTAAGAAGCTGAGTGCGTGTAGTCTGCACTTTCAGAAAATTCTTTTCAACGTTGAAATATATTAAACTACAATTTCGGTTGTACCTTAAACTGTAATTTCGTTTCAAATTTACTGCAACATTAATTTAGGTATTAAATGGATGTTTCCGTTTAAACTTTCCGCTTTAAACTGAAATGTTTTAACTGAAACTGTTTAACTGTTTCCGTTTTAAACTGGATGCTTCCGTTTCAAAGTGAAGTCTGGTTCGGTTTAATTAACCCCAACCTAAACTTCGGGTAGACAAGTTCCCGAAGTACGATTATATAGTTCAATTTATTACCATATTAATAATTGCTTCTCAATCAAATTTTTTGTGTTAGTTTAGCATGCTCTTTAAAGTCTAATAGTGAAATAAATTATAGCTGAAAAATTTGGAAAATACTATTATAATCGCTATTTCGTTGATTTAATTTAATAACTTGAATTTATTTAACAAGTTGCAACTTTTAATCGAATAGACAATAGTAGTTTATTTGAAGCCTAATATTCAATTGCGCTATTTATTTATATAATTCCTTTAGCAGTATTGACTTTAAAAACGGTGTTCTGTAATTTCCTAACTTCATTATTATTTCTTTTCAGTATTGGAGTGAAGACCAGCGTAACCTAATGAATAAACTAAACGGAACACTCACTGAAAAGACTCAGAGACTTACTGCAGGCTTAGAAAAGTATCACTCTTTGTCGCCAAATGAAAGACAAAACCTTCGAGATCTTTATGGGCAGAATAAAGCACCTCTCTCCTACTCTAGGGAATTGAATGCCATTATTGGAGAATAAAGACGAATGACAAAAGGAACGCAACAATATTTATAATTAGATATTTTGCATTAATTGAAACAACGCGAAATCTGAAATAGAACCCAATAATATATGTAAAAATGTTTAAATAGTAAACACTTTAATGAGAATTCATTTGTTGTTGTTGATGTTTATCCAAACTGGCTTATCCAATCGGCGTGACCAGCTCAAAGTCCGCATATGTTCAGAAAGCCCAAAACAAGAAGTAGTCTCTGATTAAAATCTTCCCTCTTAAGTTGGAGGAGTGGAATTTTTTTTTAAAATTTAATATAAAAATATACATATTTTAGTTTTATTGTTTATTTACAATTCAAAATATTTTATATTTATTGTATTAGGGGTCTACTGCCCCCTGTTTATTATCTCTTGCCAACTTTCGAGCTGCTTTAATAGTTCAATGGCTACTTGACTGTATTCGTTTCATTAACTCACTAGTTATTAACGGCCGGGATAGCCTGGTCGGTAGGGCGCTGGGCCCATGTCCGAGAGTTCATGGGTTCGAACTCCGGCGACCGAAGACTCCCCTTGTAGTTGGTGACTGATGCACGTTAAAATTCTGTCGAGTCGCAAAGTCCTCCATGCTCCCATAACAAATCAAAACCTCTGGGGGTACTGGATTGGAGATCGATCGTTCTCTGATTCAGGTCAAAATTACTATCTGTGGATAAATGAATGGAAGTATGAATGGGTCCGCCTTATAAATAGGTGTGACGTATGATGTGGCAGAAGTCGAATTTTTGACCATAGATGGCGCCACTGAAAAACAAGAATCGCACACTCAGCCTCAAATTTGTTCGGTTTCACCAAGCAGGCTTGCCCGTGTTGCAAGTGGCATTAGAACCAACCAACCACTAGTTATTAAAATATAGTGATTTAGTTTCTTAAGCAATATCCTTTGGTAAAACTGTCTCCCATTCAAAGTGTCGATAATTTCGCTGTTTCTGTGTATATAAGACTCTAAAGAACTTATTCGCTTCATTTATGATCGTTTCACTCACTTTAACGTTTGGTTAGGCTGTATAATAGGGTGTCTCTCGGATTGATTACAACAGTAACTTGAAGTTTTTACTGCGTGTAAAAGAATCCTATTATTCATTTCCTAATATTTCTGTAGTGGTTTTTTATTATTCGAAAAACTCAGTTTTAAGTCATTCCCCGTGGCGGACAGAATGGTGCAGAGAAATCAAGAGGATTGGTAGATAGAAACTCTATCATGTGCTACAAACACTCCGTGACAGTTTTATAAATAAATCTCTGATTGAGTAATGGTATTCTAGTTTTTGATCAATCGAAGCAAAGAATTCGATTTGAGGTAATATCATTTATAAAGTAATTTCCGGATTGAAATTCGAAACGCTGATTCGATTTTCATCAACAGTCGCTTTTAATTCATGTTTGTTGTTTATAATTTATTACTTATAAAAATAAATTTCCAATATTTATTTCAGTTCATTATAGTTCTTGATACGAACTTACGTTTTCCGATCTTGTTAGATGCAGGGGTCTGTCCAATACATTTTGTGAAAGGTCCCGTCATTGCAAAAACCTTTTTCAAGGAGTTTTTAAATTGTAAATAGATACAAAATTATGGTCAGCACTGTAAAATTATAATAAAAAAAAATGAAGTTTTCAAAAATAAACAGCAATTGCTGCTGCTAAATTAGAGATGCAACATACAAACATTTGGTATTTAGCCGATACTGCTGAACGCTGAATATTTATTTCGGACAAGTAAAGGATAAAGCTTCTGCCGAAGACAAAACAATAACATGTGCACATCAAAAACAACCCTCTCTAAGCTGGTTGCTCTAAAGAAGATTTCTATCAACCTTAAAATAACCTCAAGTGTGAATAGAACAACTTCGTACTTCTTGGTAATTCTAGGGAGGTTGAGTTTTTGAGGTTGCTTTGACGTCAACTACAAATAAACCTCAAATGAAACTTAACACCTGAGAATAACCTCCTTTTAACTTCAAAAGCACTTTTAATTTTTGCAAGGGTTTGGGGTCAATTTGACACTCATAGGAAATTGACGTCATTCCAAAGTTAATGAATTTTGAATTGATGAATATTGATAAAAACAAAATACATACATTTTTGATCTATTTTTATTAACTTAAGGACAATATAATTACATAGTGTAGTATTGTATTACATATTATTCTTTCACAGGAGCATAAATCATATAAAAATAAACAAAGGTACAAATATAAACAATATATTTTAGTTCACAACAGGTTTTAAATAGTGAAAGTTCAGCCATTAGTTCGAAATGAGCACTATCGTACTATAGTATATCCGAGTGACTTGAAAGTGACAGCAAAACATCGACAAATTGATTTCTAGCATCTTGCGTAGTTATCAGAAGTTTTATTCTGTCTTTTGCGATGCTAAAAGGCGTGTTTAATTTATTTTATAGACTGAAATTTATGAATTGGAGTCTATCTGATGAGCAAAAGGCTAAATTCTTAGCTTTTCAACAAGCATAAGAATGAACTCGTAATGCATAATTAGGGTGGTGATAGATTTCTCGAAAATTATCCAAGCGTAGGTAGCAATATCATAAATTGTAAAATACGTGCAAGGCATTTTCAAGTTTCACATAGTGTAGAATAATTCCTTAGCATGTTGTTTGTCACTTTGCTCGATTGTAGTAAATGACAGTACTTGGCATCCACTCTATGCTGCCAACTGCAAACATATTTACATGAATAAGAATTATGGCTTTCCTTTTTTTTTCAAAAATTTTGCATGGGAAATAATGAATGTTTTGTTTCTATTTGAAATACAAAATATGAATTTCACGACGACGAAGTGTCACTCAAAAAAGGAAATTATTTTTTGTGCTGACTTACACTCCTAATAATGCGACATTTCTTATAACGGAGAAAAATTTCCTCTGCGAGTTTTACCGAGAAAAAAAATTACCAGTAGGTCCTTTTGCATTCGGAGTTTAGGTGTGAAACACAATACTTTCCCTGAGTTTTTATTCAGATGTGGCCGTTTTTCAACAAGCAAAAATAAAGAAAACCATTTAAAGGGATTTTCGTAAAACTTTTATGTCAGTTGAAAATAAACACTTGAACTTAAAGATATGTGGCTTGTTCGTCATGTGATAAATTTGTATTTTGATTTATTAGCAATAACTATTTACCGATAGTTCTTGTTCCATATCATAAAAAAAGCAACTGTTTATAGTAAGGATTTACATGATTTATTTCAGAGTCAATAGCGAATTTCTAATTCAATAAGAGTTTAACTAAGCTACTTCGAATATCGATTCCAAGATACCATATAGTTTAACGGAAACTATTGCGTGACATTTTATTTAACCCCGATTCCTGTTCTACTAATCAGCGTCACAAGGTTTGAAGTCAAACACCGACATGAACCGAATAATCAACATAAAAGCATGGAATTTTGATGCAGTACGCTTAGAAAAAATTTATGAAAATATTAAACTATTTGCTTTGAAGCTCACGTGTATCGTGCGTGGCGTTACGTAAGATACACTAGTAAGAAATGGCAGAAAATGATCAAAATAACCCCAACTTCTGGTGTTAAATTATCGAAAAGCAACCCCATCACCTGTTCTTTAGGATTCGTTACCCCCCCCAAAAAAATTAAATGTCAGTTAAATTACGGAAAAGAACCATTCACACCTATCACCAACTTCTTAGACATTCCTAACCCCCAAAAGTGTTTAAATGCAGACATTTAACTACATTATTTAAATGCTCATTTTTAGAGTGAGTCAAGATACATTTCCTCACATCAAACTATATTTGCATTTTTATGCCATTTGAAAAGTTGACAGCCATTATGTAGTTTATGTTTGCACTCAGAATTTCAAATTATTCTTTTATTCCCTAAGGTTTCTAAAATTTTTTATTTTTATTTTCATCCAAGTGACTTTTATTTTCAATTCGCATGTGTGATTTTCAATAACAAATTTAACGCAAATTAATTGCTTCTAAAAATTACACTTTTATTAAATTTATTTGAAAATTACATGTTGCTCATGTGTTTTGCTACATTCCCATTTTTGAGTTTTTTTCAAAACAATGGCATTGTTTGTAGTTTTCCTTGCTCAGAGTTTCTTACAATGTTTCAAAATTAAAATTTTTTTACAAGTTCTATATGAAAGGTTTTCAACAAAGAAATAAATATATTTTTTATAAAAGTAATATTTCATTCCTCGAATGAAACCAAAAATCTTTTTCCCCCTAATTAAAATTTTTTAAAATTGAACTTAAATTTGAATAAAAAATGTCTACACTTTAATATTTATTCAGAATTTAAAAATTTCAATGTTCTTTCGAGTTTACCTTTTCATTATTTAATTATTTTCAAACTATTGAACAAAATCTAAAATATTATCACAAATTTCGCCCAAAAAGCTTACGCACTAAACATGATAGGCTAATAATAAAATTTTTTTATGTATATTCCAACTATGCAGTTTACTTAAACATGTTTTAAGATAGAATAAGGTAAAAATAATAATAAAAAAGAATGGAAAAATGGTTATAATGAAACGAAATTATGACTTTTTTTTTTAGTCTTGCGCTCAGATAAAAGCATAATTCTAATTCAGATAAAACTATTTTTCACCGTTTAAAAGATAAAATTTCATTTTTTAAAATAATAAAAATGTTTTCTGATATCTAAGAGTTTTGTTTTGAGAGCCGTAGTTTAATTCTTCAGCTGAGAAACTAAGCAACTAATTTTTATATTTTTAATTGTTTACTAAGAAGCTTCCCTGGCAAAAAAAGACATGAAATTTTATCTGACGTTAATATATGAAATAAAAAATATTAAATATTTTTTTTCTACGAAATTTTTTTTTTCTTTCATTGTTACAAAAATAGTGTTATTTCTTTCTTCATATCAATTACATTTATTTCAATAACTCAAGTTATTGCATTTAAAAATAATTTCTGAATTTATTGATCGTTGTAGTATAATTGGAATATTAGTTAAAGGAATATAAACTCTATGAGTGCAAAGATATATATTTCACAATTAATTTTTATGAAGCTATTAAAACGATTAAAGATAAAATCACTTCGAAAAATTTAAACAAATTTATAATACTCAAATTCAATATTTTACTCTGTAGATTATTGTAAATAAAAGTTTTTATTCGAGAAGTGCAATTGTATTTGCAATCACAAAGTGTCTGATTTGAATGAGGAAATTAAACAACAGCCTAGTTTTTATTTATGAAACGAATGAAAAAAAAATAGATGTTTTGAGAGGAAATTTTTTACGTTCTCAGTGGTTCTTAATACTTGAAAAAAAGTCTGTGCAGTCTGTAATTTCAGAAGATTCAATTCAACGTTAAACCATATTATCAGTAAACTTCAACATGGATTCAAACTTGCTGCAACGTTAATTTAGGTATTTAATTGAAGCCTGTTTTTGTGTTAAGTGCGTTTCTGTTAAATTAAGCCCAATGAAAAATTTCTGGTAATCCAGTTTCTGAAGTATGATAATAGGGTTAAATCGCTTCGTGACTGTATCAACTTCACTAACTATCATATTAATTAGTCGTTCTCAAAATATTTAGAGTTATTCAAGGCCAAATTCGGAGGAATATTACCTCACAGTTCTTAGTTTCGATGTATTATCATATTCAGATTACTTGATTTCATGAATACATATTTATCCTTTGCTCAGAAAAAGTTTTTTTTTCTTCACATTTGCATAAAAGTATCGAAATCACTTTCTTAACACTTTGTAGATGGTCCCTTCTCAAACAAAACTGCTTTTCTAAGTGCCGAATAGTAAAAGCACTTGAGTTTTTATCCTGACTGCACTTGATGCAGACACTGAGTGCTCTTTAATGATTGACAGACCCATCACCGATACATTTAGATTTCTTATTTTTTCGCTTTTCTTCCTTCGTTTTCATCTTTTCTTTCTCTTTCATTGTTTAGTCATTGATAATAGCGATACACGAGTATTAGCATTTAGCGGTGCTACGAATTCATGCTAATTGTATCGGTTTGAGTAAAAGAAAAAAAATATGTTAAAAAGTTTCAACAGTTCTCATTTTTATCGTGGAATTATAGTGTGTTTCAAATGAACTCGGCAAAAAAGCAGTTTTGTAAGGAAATGAATAGAATTGAATGTTTTAATCTGGTGTGGTTTATTTGAGCAAAAGTTTTATTAAGAGATATATTTCCTGTATAGATAAAAAAATATTTTTAATTTCTTTCTTTCTTTTCTCAAGTGTACTGTGTCAAAGAAAAATGCTAGCTAAGATGTGTTTTATAAGATCATAAAACTATTATTTTTATTTTTGGGACAATACATTTTTTAAACATGGGGTTTTTCTAGCCTGTTTTTCGTTAGAAACAAATGATTGAAGATATATTATTAAGGTAATGGAGTTGTTTCGAACGCAGCTGTAAGGATCTAGATCATTTAAAAACAAACTTCGAAATTTTGTTTAGTTAAGTACTACATTTTTAGGTTGAATTTATTCTAATTGACCAGGAAATCAATTTTATAATAGTCGGGTGTTTTTAGTTAAAGAAAAATTTTCAAAAATTTTAAATTTTCTAAAATTTTCATGATTAAATTACTAAATTTTTTAACCATTTTGCATGCTGCAATTTCAGTTGATTAGTTAATAAAACACAAAATTTTATTTTTGAATGTATTTTACTTTTGGTTTCATTTGCGATCACTCGTTGAATGCCAGATATTTTTAATGCATTTTAACTTAGATAAAACAACAAGAATTTTTAAACAGGCATGTTTCATAATATCAAACTATAAAAAAAGAGATTCGGTTTTAACCAATCGTTTTATTCAGAAAATTTGACAATAAAAAATCTCCCACAGTTTATGGAGTTAAAACGAAACAAATAAGTACATAATAAATTTCATAAATTCTGTTAAAAATAATAAAAAGAAATTATAAACTTCCTTCAATTAGTAGTTAAATCTTTTACCACAGCGGGGAGCTGCACACATTTGGACGGAAAGTGTTTTCATTTTTCCAAGTTTGGGAAAGTAATGCGTGACTACATCACACACTTCACATACTTAGAATTAAGGTGAAAACATTTTACGTACTTCTACATGGATTTAAATATTTATCACGAACGAATAGTTATAGGCAATCCATTATAATGTCATCACAAAGCTTTTTTTAGAATTTGTTTTTGCTCTACTTGCAGTAGGACCATCTAGCCATTCTTACTTGAAGGAATCGGCTTAAGTTGAAAATTTAACAAGCAGAAATGTTGCAATTATACGTTAATAACTCTGTCATATTCTTGTTTACTTTCAGTTAAGATTACAACCATATTTATAGTTCTAAAGTTGAGAGTGTTTTTTACTTCATTTCCATAAAAAAGTGCTAAATCAAATGTCAATTTCGCAACTTTACATTACGATAGATCTATAATATGAATACATATAATAATTCTGCGATTTTTTCATCTGTAGCCTAAACAAATCGTTGACGATTAATTAAGTCCATTACCGCATCGAGGAACAGTACAGATTCAGACAAAAAGTGTTGCAAGTTCGTTATTCTTTGAAAACAAAAGCCTCACCAATGTTTGCTTTAACAATTGAATGTTTGCCATTTTATGCCTTTATATCCGAGAGGAAACTCTTTCCATATTTTTTTGTGGCATAGAAAAATTCATCTCACATTAGGAAACATGTAAATATCGGAATTTTCTGAGTGGAACATCAGTACCTGAATTTTTTTCCTAAACTTTCGATCGGAGATTAGACCGACTACTGCGATTACATAAAATTTCCTCTGTGGTAGATGGATCATGGGTTAGTATCCCCTTGCCATTCGGCTTCTCATGGTTTTTTTTTTCGTGATTTTCCTCTCTATAAAACACAAATATGGGTTAGTTTCTTCAAAAAGTCTTTCTTGAGGGCAAATTTTTCGAAATGCTTGATCCAGGTCTCCTTGATCCAGATCCTTGAGTTCAAAATTACTAACACAAAATGGTTAACACAAATTACAGGGGTTGGGGAGAGTCAGTGAACAGGGGGCTTTACCCCTATTTATAATCTAAAAAGTTTGCTTCGCAATATGATTTACTTATTTTCAATTGAAATATTAATAGAATTTTTCCCTTAATAATCGGGCAAATTTCTTAAAACCATCACGATAATCTTTACGTAAAATTCCGTAAATAAATGGATTTGTGGCCGAGGAAATAAACATCATTATTGTAGCTACGAATTTCAACCAGGCTGGTGCATCTATATCAGTGATAGCCTTTCCCTGCTTGGTTAAAGCGTATGGAGTGTAGCATATAAAGAAAACTGCAATTACAGTCATCATACTATATACTGATTTGCGCATTTCCATGTCTTTTCTTCTTTTAATAATTTGATTAAATTCCGAAGATTCAAGAGATATCATTTGCCGTGGTCTCACCTTAGAGGAGTTTCTAATTTGTTTCACGATGATTACATTGGAAATAATAACTATAATAGCTGGTACAATGAAGCAGGAAGTAGTTGCAATTAACACGTTAAATCGATTTCTGTAATCTGAAAAATCACCTGCACACACAGCCTCATTGTAATTATACGAGACTGTGCATAACACAAAAAACACAACAAGCATCAATAAAAATACACTATTACTTAATAACCAGGTAACAATGCCAATCATAAATTTTGGAGTCATAATAGCTTGGTATTTTAGAGGATAGAAAATGGCTATTGCTCTGTCAAAACTTATCATTGAAGCAGCATGTGATGATGAACAGGCACACACATAATTGAACATAGCACTTACTCGGCAATTAATTATGCCAAAAGGCCAGAAATCCGCAGCCATAGTGGCAGCAGAAGGAAATATAACAAATATTGAAGTCAGGACGTCAATGCTTGATAGGACGACAATAAGGAAATTACCAGTCTGATGACGCAGTTTTTCCTCCCTGTATGAAACAATTACAACAGCAAGATTACCAAAAAACGCTGCCAAAGCTATCAATATAATCAGTGCACAAGCTGAAATTCTGAATATAAGTCCATGATGATTGAGGTCGTCCGAGGTTGAATTAATGCAATCGGTGGAACAATTCTGGAACTCTTCTGTCAAATTTGTAAGTTTCATGATTCTGGAAAGAAAAATAAATGTACGTGAGCACAAAGATTTCTTTTTAAAATTGATAACTTTCATGGATATATATTTAAGGAATGAAAAGGAAAAAAATTAGAAGAAAAATAAAATATTGATCAAAATCAATTTCTGAAAAAGAAAGCAATTAATTGTAGGGACGTCTAATGTTAGGTTAGTTAGAGAAATTCCATACGTTTTTCAGTTCCTAAAGTGTTTGAAAGAACTTCTTTCTGAACAGGGTTTAATATAGTTTTTAATTATGCTTGATGATCATATTTTTTCAAATAACAAAATTATTTGAAAAATAATTATATAAATAGGTAAATAAAAAAGGCAAATTAATAAATAAAATAAATTAAAGCCAATGAATAAATATCATAAAATAAGACAAATAAATAAATAAAATAAAAATGGCAGAAAATATTAACTGAAAACGCAAATATTTTATCGCTAAAATATATGTTCTTTTATTGAAAAAAGTTAACATTTTAATTATTTTTATCGAGTTCAATCTTCTTTTCATTGAGTCTTTCAAAAAAAGTTTTTTAATTAATTCATCTTTCGTTAAAGAGACATTAAAAAAGAAAAGCAATAAAAAAAGGTAATGAGTATCCTTGTTGAGCAATAATCATTTTTTCATGCAATTGATTTTGTCATTTTCCTTTATTGTTTACAATATGTACAGTATGTCTATTCAAAAAGATTCACCCGAAAGTATAAGTTTAAATTTATAGAAATACATGTCCTTACAATAAGAGAAAAAGGAATAAAAGGAATGTCCCTTATCATGTGATAGAATGGCGAACGCTAAAGCTTATAACCCGATCTCTCTCTCTCGGAAAACTAACTGTTTAGTTATGATTGAGTATTGTGGTGTACAAGAATTTTAAACGTAAAATATTCCGAGGGAAAATTTATATGATATTTAGTGACACCAAAAATGAATTTCAATGCTACGATTAAGCTGAAATGATTTTCCAGGGGAATTTTTCTGTTGCATCCTTTCCCAATACTACTAGAATCATATATGAATGATATTAATATTCAATATCATTGTATTTATTCGCCGTTTTGATTATTGGTCCAATATCATTTATTAAATCAAAGAATTATACATAAAAAAATATCGAGGGAGAAATGTTTTAAACTTGTTATGGAAGTTTCAAAACTAAAATACGTTAAATTTACGCGTCTATCTTCTGCTTGAAAAATTGTCGGGAAAAGTTGTTTGTTGCATTCATACTAAAATTAGCTTGTCTCCCTTAGCTACAGATTTTTTTCGAAATTACACTTTTATTTTACTTTTTGTNTACAATATGTAAAGTATGTCTATTCAAAAAGATTCACCCGAAAGTATAAGTTTAAATTTATAGAAATACATGCCCTTACAATAAGAGAAAAAGGAATAAAAGGAATGTCCCTTATCATGCGATAGAATGGCGAACGCTAAAGCTTATAACCCGATCTCTCTCTCTCTCTCGGAAAACTGTTTAGTTATGATTGAGTATTGTGGTGCACAAGAATTTTAAACGTAAAATATTCCGAGGGAAAATTTATATGATATTTAATGACACCAAAAATGAATTTTAATGTTACGATTAAGCTGAAATGATTTTCCAGGGGAATTTTTCTGTTGCATCCCTTCCCAATACTACTAGAATCATATATGAAGGATATTAATATTCAAGATCATTGTATTTATTCGCCGTTTTGATTATTGGTCCAATATCATTTATTAAATCAAAGAATTATACATAAAAAAATATCGAGGGAGAAATGTTTTAAACTTGTTATGGAAGTTTCAAAACTAAAATACGTTAAATTTACGCGTCTATCTTCTGCTTGAAAAATTGTCGGGAAAAGTTGTTTGTTGCATTCATACTAAAATTAGCTTGTCTCCCTTAGCTACAGATTTTTTTCGAAATTACACTCTTATTTTACTTTTTGTAGAAATGTGCATGTTTAAATACGGTTTATGTATCAAGCAGTCACGCAAGTGCTGCGATAAGAGGTAGGGCACATCATCAGAATTGAAATTGCATTGGAACTCATACAAGGAATTGCTTCTCTATAATGACCAGTTCAAAGGCACGGTAAGAATCAGTTCATAATAAGAAAGAGTCACTAGTGGCGTACGATGACATTTCCGGGTATGGGCTCCTGTGCAATTTTATTATTTATTATGTGCCTTAACTCACCACAGTTATCGAAATATTCACGCGACTCTTTGGTACATATAACGTTTTTAAACTTGTACATTTCGGTGAAAAATAGGCTAAAAATATTATTTAAATAAAATCTGTAGCTTGGAGAGAAAGAACTGACTGCAGAATTTAAATCAACGATACAAAAGTATATAAGAGTTGTCAAAAAAATGTCATACATCTTAAAATTAAAAAATATTTGGTCCCCAGTATATTTTTTTACCTTAATTACAAGTGCACCAATTCCTAGCAATTATGATAAAAATTATGCAATTATTAGTTGAACAATTTTATAGTTAGCCAATATTCAGAAAAATGCTTTGTTGTTCAAGCATTCCATTTTTTCCTCTTGTGTCCTAGGCTTTCTTTGGGAATATTCTTAAGAAATATTGGAACCTTTGATTTTTGTTTAAATTGGAATCCGATTTTCCCGTAAAAACCGTCTTGAAAAAAACGTTTGTGCTTCAGTTATTTACTCTGAAAGAAATTCTTTCGGGCCCAAATTCTGCGACATTCAAAATCCTGAGCAATAATTATTTTTTTGATACATTATGCGGCCGCTGATAAGCCACGGAAAATCGGGAAACTTGAAAAAAAAAAGGTTATACATATATGTTATATTACATTATAA